ATTCATTTGGGTACCTGAGACTAATGCCATCAATCAACTTACTGATTTAGCATGAACATCTAATAAGATACTAATATATCTCAAAAAGTGTAGCCAATGCCACATCATCAACGCCACATTAGCATTAAAAGGAATTTTTTATAAAAAAATTCTAAAAAATTTCCTAAATTTTAAAAAATTAACAAAATTTTCAAAAATTTAAAAATTTTCTTAAAAAATAAAAAAATTAAGAAAACTTAAAAATTTTAAAACAAACAATCATATCTTAAAAAATTCAAAACTTTTTCAAAAAATTCAAAACAAACAAAGATTTTAACAAAAATAAATTTCTCTTAAAATTCAAAAACAATAAAAAAATAAAATATTTAAAATAAAAAAATCTAAAATTTATTAACAAAATATAAACATTTTTATAAAATTTTAAAAAATTCTAAATTTTTTTCATTTTTTCTCAAATTTTAATTTTTTATTTCTTTTCACTTTTCAAATAATTTTTCCAAATTTTTATATAATTTTTAATTTTTTAATTTTTATAATGTTTCAAAATTTTGAAATTATTTAATTTTTCAAAAATTTTTAAAAATTTTAGAATTTTTTTTGAAATTATCGTATTTTCACAAAATTTTATATTTAGTTAAATTTTCAAAAATTTTCAAAAAATGTTAGATATTTTTAGTTTTTTAAGTTTTTGTGATTTTTTTAAAATTTTAAAAAATGCAATTCTAATTAAAATGTTCATTTTTTTAATTTTCATATTTTTTATTTTTTTAAATTATCATAATTTTATAATTTTTAAAAATATTTCAAATTTTTTATTTTTTATAAATTTGAAAATTTTTTTAAAACTTTTCAAAATTTTTAAATTTTTTTTGAATTTCTTAAAAAATTTTATAATTTTTTTAGTATTGTTTCGATTCTTTTAGAAATTTTTTAAAATTTTTAGAATATTTTAGAATTTTTGAAATTTTTAGAATTTTTTTTCAAAATTTTTATTTGAACGTTGATGTAATATTAATAATGTGGTGCTAATTGAACTTCTTTGACACGTGTTAACATCTTATTGGATATTCATTCCACGTTAGCATTTTAGACTAAAGGCGTTAGTTTGTGGTACCAATGTAATAACGGAATAAAAGTCAAAATACCAAATTGATAATTTTATTTCTTTAGCTACTAACCTAACAAATAGTGTATAATTCAAAGATAATTTTTATATTTAACCCTTTTAATAAGAAAAACATTTCTACTTTTAAATGGTTCATGAGTGCGAACAATTCCTCTAGCATTCTAATTTTATTATGCATTTGATATTAGTACCGTGGTCCAATTTTGACAAGGATAAACCAAAGAGAAATTATATTTATTATTATATAATAACATACATAAACATTTTATAAGATTTGTCACAAGTACGTTTATGTGAACAACTTTTTTAGATAAAATGTAAGATAATGTTTTTAAAGAGTATAGTTTCTTTTAATTACAAACTAGTTTTTGACCTATGCAAAGTACAAGGTTTTTAATTTTCATAAAATTATTTTAATTAATTAAGTCTCTAAAAATATTTTCTTTCTTTTAAATTCCAAATTTATATATATTGTAGTTATTTCAATATGAAACCAAAGTATAAGAAAACTTCATATATAATTGTACTCAAAATTGGAGAGTATATTTTATTTTTATTTTTTCAACAACCCATAGATTGTGTTTAGTAACTTAAATTTAAAAAAAGATATTTGGATTTTAAAATTAGTATAAAATGCATGATAAAGCACACCTAAATATAAACATTATTTTATAATAATTTTTCAAATTTAATGATTTGTTTGATATCTATTTAGTAGCGAGTTTGAAATATTTACATGTATTTATGAATTTAAAATTCATCTTTTTATATCTTTCAAACTAAATCAATAATCATATTAAATTTTATTAATTTGTGCATCCTAGGTGTATTTTATTCTAATAATTTATATAGCAAATAAAATCCAAATTCACTTCTTAAATTTACCTTTCCAAGCATAACAATAATGTTTTTGTTGGATAATCACCTATTCTAAAATAAATTATTTTAATTTTTTACAAATTTATCAAACAAAAGACATTAAAAAATTTATAATCTAAGAAATACATGTTTAAAATTTAAAATTTTATTTCTATATATTAAAACTATTAGCCTTGAATTTATCTTTATTTTGAAATAACAAAACATTAAGTTAATAAGCTTAATTAAGATTTTAAAAAAATTTATTTAGTACTTATTCTTCAGTTTTATTATTTTTAGTACTAAATAAATAATGTATTCTTGAAAGTGTAAACAAACATTTATATGTTGTCATATTTCTCAAACAAATTTATCTTTAAAAATTATTTATTTGAGCTTAAATGAAAGTCCAATAGTTACTTTTAAACTGACTATATTTATCTTGGGCACAATACAATTTTGATAATATTGATTTTGAAAAATAAAAAAACTTAAAAAAATTTATTTTATAAGAACAAAGTTTTCCTACGTTGAACTTGTTTTTTTTAATTAATTCACAAAGTTTTAATATTTAAATTTTATATGGCTAGAAAGCTTTTTGAGTCTATTTTCCAATGGATTAAACAAAATCTAAAATCCAAAACTTTTAAGAAAAGATTTTAAATTTTTACTAGATATTATGCAATTGTTTAAAAACTATACAATGGGTAGTTTTGTAAATTCACTATAATTCATATATAATAAATTAGGTGATGAATTTTATAGGGATAGAAAGCCCTTGAAGTCTAGTTTATAAATCTTCAAACGATTTTTTTATTTGGAGTTGTATAATTTAAGATATGATCAAATTAGTGAATAAAGTGTAAAACATGAGACAACTAATGGCACTATTCATCTAAAATCCAAAATCCAACTTGACCCGATCGATCCCTTAAGTACTTGAGTGATCTCCTCAGTTGTAATGATCAAAATTTGAGTGAAATTCAAGAATTAATCGATCCCCTAATTTAATATTTTCATTCTTTTAAAGAAGTCAATAGTTTTAGAGCTTAAATTCAATATCTTTTGTATTTCTTATATCCAAAATATTGTTGTGTTTCATTAACCATTTTCTTTGTACTTCATTAGGCAAACACTCAACCTTGAAAGTTATTTTGGTTTGCAAAAATCATTTGAGCTATATTATAAGTAAATTGTGAGGTATCATCTTGATTGTATAAGGGTAAAAGTTTTTATCTTAAGCCTTAAAAAAAAAAAAGATATATTGTATTCTCAATTCAAATTTAGTGAATTGAAACCTTAACGTGGACAACCAAGAGAGAAGACGTAAGGCCTTGAAAAGGACCAAACATTTATAAATCCTTATGTTTAATTTTTTTATGCCTATCTCTTTATTTTACATTCATTATTATTGCTTATATTTGCTTTAAGATTATCAATTTGTTGTTATTAGAATCGTATTTTAATATTAGTTTTAATTCTATATTCAATTGTATTGAAATTATTTTTGGAAAGAATTTGAAGAAATCAAATTCACTCCTCTCTTGGATCACTATCTCACCTAAAAAGCTAACAAAAACTTAATTATTTGATTGCAATCAACATATTTATATATGTTAATAATAACCATTAAATAATCAATTTCAAAAATTTTATTAGAAAGCTAATACTTGTTTATTGAACACTTTTGCCTACTTCTTTGTACATGTGCTTTAATAGACATTTTTACATTTTTTTTTTTTAGTATTTGAATTTTCAAAATTAAAACTTTGATCACTAGAATTAAAAATTCAATATTCTATGAATAATATATGCGATTGTTGGTTATTTTTAGATTATATTTAATACTTAAATATAAATATAAAAGATTACATAATATAAAAATCATATTAATATTAGGTGATGCTAATTTAATAGTCGGTGAAAACTGTCTAAATAAAGTAATGAAATTAATAAATTAAATATATTAATTGTTTAAATGGTTGTATAATTTACAAATATTATAAGTTTTTATTCAAATATCAAATAATTGACAGACAATAAGTTTTTTAAAATATGTTTTTATATGAATTAATTAATTGGAAGTAATTTAAATTATTTTCTCACATGGTAGAAAATTCTTCATTTAATATAAAACTATAATATTAGAAAGACAATATATAAAATTAAATTTTAACTTTTCAATAATAATCTAAATTTAAATTAATTTTATTATTTTATTTAAATATATAAAAGACAAAATCTATGGAAAAAAAAAAGAAAATGTCAAAATGAATGATTTATATTTTATTTGACTGTCTCAAAAAAAATCATTTTTCCTCTAATAAATGTATTTTATTTTATTTTATATATTTTTAATTTAAAAAATTCATGAAACTAAATTGATTATATTTATTTTTTTTATTGTTTACCTCAAATCACTCTCATTAAATTCATATGAAAAATATTAAAACTTTGATTACCATTATTAATAAATAAAATAATTTTATAGTTTTTCTTCAATTACAAATATTTAACTCTTGGATTATATTTATTAAAAAATTTACCTTCCAATTTTTTTAAAAAATATGATTTATTGGCTGCACCGTTTAAGCTATATATATATATATATATATATATATATATATATATAAAATATTGATTTTAAAATGATTAATAAAGAATCAACTCAATTAAAATTAATTTTAGTACATTAAATCAAATTAATTTTATTATCATTATTACATTAATTTCAAAATCTCTTTTTATTTGTCTCAAACTTATTGAATATATATTATACTTGACTATTCTAATTATTAAGAACAAATCACTCTTAATTTAAAATACTATTACTCTTTATTTAACTCTTAATTTATTTTAATCAGTTAGCCATTTAAAAATAAATGTTGATAAGAATTTTTCGTAATAATGGAAATAAAATATTTTGAATTAAATTTTAAATTTTAAATACATATCAATTTTTTATATTATCTACATGTATTTTTTTAAAGTTTTTAGATTTAAATTTTAAATCCTTCATGATCATACCACGAGCCATGCCGTGTTAGACCGTTAATTTAAGGTCTTGACCAATCCTAGCACGTGTTGGGACTTTGGAGATACCGTAATTTTTTTATTTTTTATTCCACGTACCCAATGATATTTTATTACACATTACATTAACAAGCAGAAAATATACCAATGTCTCACAGCATGACAGGTTGCAGAGCAAACATATATCGATTAAAAGAATATGCCAAAATGAAAATTTTTAAGGCAAAAAAAAAAAAAATTGCAACTGGCAGCACCTCTAAACAACAAACTTCTAACCTTTTACTTTCATTTTCCCCTTTATCCAAAGGGCTGACGTTGCATGAGGATTGAGCATATCTTCTATCAACGTTTTTCAAATTTGTTTGACAAGATGGAAGGGGAGGTGGGGAGTATCAACTAACCACTTTTCTAAGTCTTTTCTCTGCGAGGTTAGCAACTTTATTTTGTGGCTCTAGAACCAGAGCGTGCTTGAAATCTGCAAATGCCAAAACAAGAAACTGCTTAAGAGGAGCATACCATATGGACAATGGAGTTTGGGTCATGAGCGCCTGTGTATGTTTGGATTAATGTTCCCAAACCCCACATCAGATAAGAAAACCAGTATGAACACAACCAAAATGACAGAGGACAAGTATTAACTGTCCCACCTTTCTCCCAAAGTTTTAAAAGTTCAAACATCAGATTTCATCAGTATGATGAAAGAGAAGGGGAAAAAGAAAAAGGCTTCATAATCTGTTATAGTTGCCATCAAAACATAAATTTCTTTAAAAAAAATGCAATTTATACAACTAGAAACCTGAAATGCGTAATTAGTTGTATTTATCAATAATTTTAGTTAGCTGGGTGAAAATGAGTCTCATATCACATGTAAGGCATAATAAGCACTATGAAAGTATTCTCACCTTCAAGAGCCTCTTTATAACAGAGTAGCGATTCTCTGGCTGTCCCACGCCTCAGATATGCCTTCACATTCTGCACAAAAATATTATTTTGATTAATAACATCACTGGGTACAGCAGCATCTTTCTCATGTGTGCATGCACAGTTTAGATTCCACTACTTCAACTGTCAAAGAAAAGCTATTTCATTAAAGAATACCATAGTTACTATATTACATGCTTTAAATTACCTTTTTGTCAAGTGATATTGCCTTACTGCAGTCTTCTTCAGCTTGTTGGAAGCTGCATATTTAAAAATCAGTTTCCCTCGAAAGTATATGGACACAAAAAAAAAATGCAATGAAAATAATGGCAATAAAGCTTAGAGATACTATACCATCCTAGTTCCAAGTAAGCTGCTGCCCGGTTGTTATAGTATGTTGCATTTGTCCCATTTAACTTAATAGCTTCGTTATAGTAATTGACTGCCTTATTCCATTGCATTCCCTTAAATGCAGCATTTCCCTGAAATGAAAATTGTCAAGAAAAACTTATAATGATAGACCTTTTAACTTCACTTATCTTTTACTTTCTGTAAATTAAAACTCAAGTGCAAGCTCACACCAAACCAGCATGGTAACTGCTTCAGGCAACTTAATCATAAGAAATGAATGTTACACCTTAAGTTATCACAAGTGATAACTTTCTGCGGACACTGAAACTAAAGATAATTTGAAAACACTACCACATGATCTAATTGTCAAGTGCTAACACTTATTAGCAAAGTTGCCCACATATGAACTTAAAAAGAAATGACATACCTTATCCATCGCTTAGAAGGCTGGATGCTAGTTCTTAGAAGTGTTGCAACATAAAGAAAGCAGAATTTGAGCAAGTGAAAAAGAGAGAAAGAGCAGTTATCCATCACTTCTTTACAGGTTCATGAACTCATCCATCCCCAGTAACAAGATGGCATTCTTCCTACTGTTACTTGCCAAGTATATGTAAAAACTCATCAAGTAACATGCCATTTAGTAAAGCAACTTATGATCAGAAAAAAAATAAAAAGGGGGACAAACTAAGTTAGTGTTTAGTTTTAGAAAACAAAGCCATTTTCCCCTTTCATTTTCTTGGCAAATGAAAAATATAAGTTAAAACGTGTTAATAATTGAAATTAAAAACGAGTTTTTAGAAAACAAAAATAAAAATGATTTCAAATATGAAAAAAAAAAAAATGTTTTCAATTATGAAAACAAGGGATGCCTATTACTTTTTTGTTTGCATTTTGCAAGTTATCATATTTGAACACTTTTTGAAGCCATTAATCAAACTAAGCCTTATATCCCATTACTTTAGGGTCGGTTATATGAAAAGCCAAAAAAAAGAATCATGTTAGATCATAGTTTTGAATCTTTTTACGTTCCTTAATTTCTGTCAAAAACAACATTTTCATCTACTTCTTTAACCCTTATATCTTCTGTTATTACTTACATTCACGTCTTTCATAGTCTACCTCTAGAAGCCATTAATTAATAAATACATATTATATTTAAAATTAAAAGATATTAATAGTAATTATTTCCACAACCACTTGTTTTTTCTTTTTATTTGTCTTTAGTTTGGCATCTTGAATTCTTTAAAATTTTTTGTCCCTTTCCACTCAAATCCCCTTTACAACAATTTTTGAAATTATTATATAAAGTTGAGAAGATTGAATATTTTACTTATTTCCTTAATCATTCTTTTTTTTTTTTTAATGTATAGTGATATCAAATATATTTCATTATTTTGCATTTTTAGAAAACAATTTTTTTTCACCAAATACATTTTCTAGAAAATAAAAAATAGAAAACAAAAATGTTTTCTAGAAAATAAAAACAAAATCATTTTCTCAAACCAAACAGACCCTAAAACTTCATTTTGGATGACTTATAAACTGACAAGGTGCAAACTGACTCCCATCACAAATAAATCAAATTTCAGATCCATGACATTATTCACTTTGGTAGAAATTTTGCTAGGAAAATCAAACAATTAAGATATTGAAAGATATTAGTGGTGGGCAAACCTTTTCCTTCAAGAGTTCAGAAGCATCCATGTTACCATTGACATCAGGCAATGGCACTGAATTGGATGCAATGCTGACTTGCTCTTGCAGAGATGCGTACATATCCAAAACTGTATCAAGAAGAAATTTATCTGCTCCATGGTATGCGACAAATGAAACAGAAACAGGACAATCACCATCCTTTCCTAATGGAACGGAAGCCTGTAAAGAGATTGTGAGATTAAATAAACGACTGATACCCAAGCTACAAAACAACAGACAAGAGTGAAAACTTAAGCCTGGTAACATCATAAGCCACCTGACATCCCCCCGACATGCTAGTGATACTCAATAATGCAAATGCTCTATCATGAAACTCAGTGGAATACCCTTTCTTTGAATTGAGCTTTAGTGGAGGATCTGCAATTGTGGGAATCACTAATATCCCATCATCCTGAAACAGAAAAGATAAGTTGGTTATGCAAGATCATCCAATTCCATGCCATATCCTATCATCCTAGACCATACAATTTCAAGACAAGCATCAGAAATTTGAGAATCTTTTGGATCCAAAAAAGTAAACCCAAAATTCAACAAAGTTAGGAACGTAAGAAAATACTGTTAATAAAAACACTGAGTTGATATTAAATTCACCTTTGAAATATGATAGTGCTTCCAGAACCAAAAACCTATAAGCATGTCTCAGATTCGCAATAGCTAAAAAGGACTATGAGTTGCTAATTTAGTTCGGAAGTGTAGCTGTCTAAGACTGTGGAAAACCGATTCCTAACCAGATTTGATTAAGTGTCATTCATTTAATATTTTGGTTGTTTCGTAAATAAAAGGGATTTGGTTCATTGACCAAATTCCTACTTGGTAGTTTCCATTTATTGTTAAAGGATTTTTAGGTGATTTGTTATTATCTCTAGGATATCATGGGATTTGTTAGATTTAATGTTTTCACTATATATATACTCTTGTACTCTAGAAAGTTTCTTAAGAATTCATAAATAAAATTCTCACGAATTTCTTCATGGTATCAAAGCGATCATCCTGAATCATCAAAACCAATATATATATATATATATTTTTTTTTATTTTTTTTTTTTTTTTTTTTTTCTTTCTATCTTTCTATCTTTCTATCTATGGTCAGTAGCACAAGTGCGTCTGAGCCCCCTATTTTGCCTATCACTGATTACAAAATCAATGGACAAAACATCATCCAATGGTCTCAATAAGTGATGTTGTTTATCTGAGGAAAAGGTAAGGAGGATTATATCACAAGAATGACTATTTCATCCTACGAGAATGACCCAAAGGACCGAACCTGGAAGTTAGAGAATAGCATAGTAATGTCATGGTTGATCAATTATATAACCAACGAGATTGGTGAGAATTTACAAAATTGCCAAGGAGATTTGGGATGCTGCAAAAGAAACCTACTCCAACATAGATAATACATCTACAATATTCGAGATCAAAAGCACTCTACATGACCTGCAGGAAGGAAACTCCTCTATCACGGAATATTTTAATTCCTTAACTCGTTATTGGCAGCAATTAGATATTTTTGAAGAAATAGCATGCAAGTGCCCTGACAATAGCCAACAATACAGGAAAATAGTGGAGAAAGACCGAGTTTATAAGTTTCTACTTGGTCTAAGTAAGAGCCTTGATGATGTTCGTGGGAGAATTCTTAGCATCAAGCCATTACCCAACATCTGAAAAGTTTTCTTTGAGGTCTGCCAAGAAGAGAGTAAAAGGAAAGTGATGCTAGGGACATCATGCAATCCACGAGACAGAAAATTCAGCACTTGCTGCATGAGGACCAAAATCCTACCGAGGTAGTGAAAATCAACAGAAGAAAGGTAATAGACCTTGGTGTGACCACTATCAGAAGGCAAGACACACACAGGAAAATTGTTGGCAAATCCATGGGAAACTTGCCGACTACAAACCACAGTCTACTTGAAATCAAGAGAGTCATGAAAATTCTGCCACCACCAAGACAACTCCAACACCCTTGGAATCAAGCCCGTTCAGTAAAGAGTAGTTGGAAATCCTTCAAAAAATTGTTCAGCAATCTCTTCAGAACACTGGGTCAGTTGTAAGCACAGCCTCTATTGCACAAAAAGGTAACTTTCTCAATGCTCTACTTGTGCAAAGTGGAAAATCAAGATCTTGAATTGCTATTCAGGCACATCAAACCACATGACTGGTGATGCATCAGTGTTCCATAAATATAGCCCATGTTTTGAAAACATCACAGTTTGAATAGTAGATGGGTCACTCTCCCGAGTAGCCGAGACAAGTTCAGTCATTATTTCAAAGGACATAACACTTGACTCTATTCTTCATGTCCCTAATTTAGATTGGAACCTTCTGTCTATTAGTTAAATTACAAAAGATTTTAATTGTGTTAGAAAATTTTTTTCTAGCATGTGTGAATTTCAGGGCTTGGATTCAAAGAAGAAAATTGGCAATGCTAGGATGTGTGCTGGACTCTATCTCCTTAGAGATGAAGAATCTAAGAGACAATCATGTAAGAGTGCTTGTTCGATTTCATCTTCTACTAAGAGTAAAGAAAATATAGTCATATTATGGCACTATTGCTTAGGACATCTAAATTTCTTGTACCTCAAAAAATTGTTCCCTGATTTATTCAATAAAGGTTCCAAGTCTTATCAATGTGAAATTTGTCAGTTTTCCAAACTTACTCGCAATTCATATCCAAGCCAACCATACATATCAACTCATCCTTTTTCTATGATCCATAGTGATGTTTGGGGACCATTGAGGGTTAACAATATTATAGCCTCTAGATGGTTTGTTACTTTCATTGATGATCACACTAGAGTTACATGGTTGTTCCTTATGAAAGACAAGTAAGAGGTTAGTCCAATATTTCAAAATTTCAACAAGATGGTGCAAACTCAATTTCAAGCAAAAATTCAGATGCTCAGAATAGATAACGGGCGAGAATACTATCACTCAGTTCTTGGATCTTACTTGTTAGATCAAGGAATTATTCATTAGAGCTCATGTACTGAAACTCCTTAACAAAACGAAGTTGTCGAGCGGAAGAACAGACACTTGATGGAAGTTGCAAGATCTATTATGCTAGCCTCTCATGTCCCGCAACATTTTTGGGGAGACGCAATCTTGACAGCAGCCTTTCTTATCAATAGGATGCCTTTTCGAGTAACAAAATTCCAAACCCCCTATCAAACACATCTCAAAACCTACACTCATGTCCAACTCATTTCCTCTGTACCAATCAAAGTGTTCAAATGTGCTACCTTTGTTCATATACAGCAACAACAACGCAATAAACTAGACCCCATATCACTCACGTGTATATTTCTTGGCTACTCACCTAACTAAAAAGGCTACCGATGTTATTCACCAACTACTAGAAAGTTTTACACTTCTATGGATGTCACCTTCTTTGAGAATTAGCCATTCTATCCCAAAGCCAATATTCAGGGGGAGAGTTCTAGGGAATATCAACTTTGGAAGATTAAGCCATCATCCGATCCTTCCTCTACTTGTCTACCAATTCAAATTCCCATTTCAAATAATTCTTCTTCTTCTTCCGAGTGAACTAGTCATCCTAAGTCTCCAAAACCTCCTGAAACCGTGCAAAAGACAAATGCTAAGGAAATTATTGTATACTCAAGGAGACCAAAATCTCAAAAAGAGACAAGGACCTATACATCTCCAACACAGGACCAAGATTCTAAACCAAATCCAGGGACTTTTGAAATTCATACAAGTAACACAATTACTGAACCTATCTCTGATGGTTTTCCTAGTGATCTTGATCAGCCCATTACTATAAGAAAAGGTGTGAGATCATGTACTCAGCACCCTATTAGTAACTTTGTTTCCTATAAAGGGTTGTTTCCTACTTACCGAGCACTAGTTACATTATTAACTGATGTTCACATATCAAATACCATCCAAGAAGCACTCGAACAAACAAAGTGGAAGGCTGTGGTAATGGAAGAAATGCAAGCACTAGAAAAGAATGGCACATGGAAAATTACTGATCTTCTTGGAGGAAAGAGCCTAGTGGGATGTAAGTGGATTTTTACTATCAAACACAATACAGACGGAAGTGTGAACAGATTCAAAGCTCGTCTTATGGCTAAAGGATTAACTCAGTCTTACGAGATTGATTATGAGGACTCATTTGCTCCTATAGCAAAACTGAATTCTGTCTGTGTGTTACTATCACTTGCTGCAAACCTAGATTGGCCTCTTGACCAACTCAATATCAAAAATGCATTTCTAAATGGTGATATAGTGGAGAGGTCTACATGAAGATTCCTCCAAGGTTTGACAACCAAGACAACATCAACAAGGTGTGTAAGCTTAAGAAATCCTTATATGGCCTCAAACAGTCTCCTCGCACCTGGTTTGATCATTTGACTAAGGGTTAAAAAGAATGGGATTTTACAATGCCAATTTGACCACGCTATGTATGTCAAACATTCACCAAATAGCAAGATTGCTATTATAATTGTTTATGTTGACGATATTGTCCTCACAGGAGATTATGAAGAGGAAAGAGTTGGATTGAAGACTCTTCTAGCTAAAGAGTTTGAAATAAAGGACTTGGGACATCTTCGATATTTTCTTGACATGGAAGTAGCTCGATCAAGAAATGGTATTTCTGTTTCACAACGAAAATATGTACTTGATCTTCTCAAAGAGACAGGGATGCTCGGGTGTAAACCAATGGATATGCCAATGGACCCAAATGTCAAGATGGGAACCAGAGATGGAAGTCCTCTTGTAGACCAAAACAAATACCAGAGACTTGTGGGAAAATTAATTTATTTGGTGTTCACTAGACCTGTCATTGGCTTCTTTGTAAGTATGGTGAGCAGATTTATGAACAATCCTACAAAGACACACATGGAGGCAGTATACTAGATCCTTCAATACTTGAAAAAAAATCCGGATAAAAGGTTGCACTTCAAAAAAACACTAAATAGAGATGTGGAGATTTTATCAAATGCAGATTGGGCTAGTTCTACGACAAACTGAAGGTCAACTACAGGGTATTGTACATATGTGTGAGGCAACTTGGTCAACTGAAAGAGCAAGAAACAAGCAGTGGTAGCTCAAAGTAGTGCTGAAGCTGAATTTAGGGCTATGTCTCAGGGAATTTATAAAGGAATTTGGCTTGAGAGAATGCTATAGGAATTGAAGAAGTCAGCTGGGAATTCAATGAAACTGTTTTGTGATAATCAAGCAACTGTTAACATTGACAAGAACCCTGTTCATCATGATCGAACGAAACATGTAGAGATTGATCGCCATTTCATCAAAAGAAAGATTGAAGAAGGCGCAGTCAAACTGGCCTACACTCTAACAAAACATCAGACAGCTGACATCCTCACCAAGGCTCTTCATTATGGCGATTTCAAGAATTTAAAGTCCAAGTTGGGTATGACTGATATCTACCACCCAATTTAAAGGGGAGTGTGGAAAACTGATTCCTAACCAGATTTGATTAGGTGTCATTCATTTAGCATTTTGGTTGTTTCCTAAAAAAAGGGATTTGGTTCATTGACCAAATTCCTACTTGGTAGTTTCCATTTATTGTTAGAGGATTTTTAGGTGATTTGTTATTATCTCTAGGATATCATGAGATTTGCAAGATTTGATGTTTTAGCTATATATATACTCTTGTACTCTAGAAAGTTTATAAAGAATTCAAAAATAAAATTCTCATGAATTTCTTCAAGGACATTAGACCTCCAATAACATCTGCAATCCTCTCAATTAAATGAACCTGAAGTTAGTAGCTTTCACTTCACATTATATGGGTTTTTTGAGAAAAAGATTAAGGTAATGACATATCAAACAACAAAAATATAAGATTAACAAACCTTCAATAATGTCAACTTTTGTTGTTTATTTCAGATTCCTATAAGCACCGTCTTAAGTATAAATTACTAATAAGATACAATTTGCTCCTCTCTCTGATTAAAAAAGAAGCATAGAACTATAGTTTCATTTATAATTGCAAGCAAAGATCAATCTATCAAGTTGTCGTAGTAAAAAATGTATTCTGGAAATAATCAGGGAGACAACTTCATTGGTATATAGTAGGCATTCTTATAAGAAAACAATAACAGTAATTCACTATAACAAAGGACAAAAAAAAATTTTAACACCTTGAGTGGAAACAAACAAATGGAAGAAGAAAGAAAAGAGGCAGGAGGAGAAGAAGCTGGCCCACCTTAAGAAGACTTTGCATAGCAGCCCTCATCTCGGTCCTGACTTTGTACAAAACTTTCACATTCTCATATGTAGTGTTGATTGCTGCAAGAACACAATGAGAAATCTCAGGTCCTAGTCTTGGTTTAACATCTTTGACCCATTCTTCATGGTTTGTTTTGAACTCATATCTGAAAAGTAATACTACTAGATGTTAGGAGAATTAGTCAGTGAACAAAACCAAGAAACAAATATTTAGCACAATAATAATAATGACAATATCCAGATTTAGGGATTGCAACAACAGAAAATGTGTAGGGCAAATTACTCTCAAATACCTTTGTAATGACACCATCACTGATGAAAGAGCTTTCAAAGCAGAAATTCCATTTTGCAGGTTTGTGGAATGTTGACGAAAACCTTTTAGACTGGGTACATTTGAAGCAATATACTGAGAAAAATTGATATGCTGTGGAGGCTGGTCTGTGCAATCAACAAGAGGTAGGCACCATCATGAAGTAAAATTCACACCATCGTAACAGAAGAGGTAGCAGTAGACTAGAATCATGATTTTGAGATCAAAAAATATGCAACTGATATGAATAAAAATTGAGGACCAGGCAACTTACACCCAGAAAGCTTTTCGATTGCTTTTCTAACAACATACACTGTCTTTTGCTTGGGAACCTTTGAGAGCTGGAATAGATCGTCAGCAAACATAAGGCGCCTTGCCCTTCTAGGTTCCACTGCTTTTAGTTGAAGTAAAATGTGTCCAACGCGATGTAGAATAGATGGATCACGAGCAAACCATCCTTCAACATCATCATTTGACGAAATCAACAAAAGGAACAAAGGAAATCTTGAAGAAGGTAAAGTGAACTCTCCAGAATTTTAATGCTAAGCAAGAAATTAGAATCTTAAATGCCCATTAATTATTTGAACTGGCCATTCTTATAAGACAACTGAAATGACATATGCCACAAACCTAGAGGAGCACAATTGCCTGCTCTGTTTATGGAGGTGGCATCCTTTCATTAATAGATCAAACATTCAGTTGCACCACACTTTCGTAAAAAAACTAGGTGAAGACAAAGCGAATTTGCATAATTATAATTCAGACTAGCTAAAGATATCAACAGCTATTATCTGCATGGAAATCCAACAAACATCCCAACAATTGAAATAAAACAGCAACACTGCAAAATTAAAACCTCTTAACAATCTGAACAAGAAGGACACATTACAATACCAATAGCATCCAAACTTTGTGAATTCGGAAGAAGTCCAATCGTAGATACAGCTCCATGAGATGGACGGAACCCAAGAATACCACAGAATGATGCCGGAACTCTCACACAGCCAATTGTATCAGTACCTACAAAGTCATGGAAAAGCCTTCAATGCTCAGATAACACTAAGAAGAAAACAACCAGTATATCAACAAGATTCAGCAAAAAGTGTGAAAAGACCCTTTCTGGATGGAAATGGAAAAGACAAGCTACGAAATTCCAGGCCAAGAATTGATTAATTATGAAAAAGACAAAACGAAAAGCATAACAAACTGGGAAAAGCTGTCGGTTGTTGACTATGACTATTGAGAAATGTAAACGACTGAAGTTACCTAGAGCAAAGTCCACAATTTCAGCTGCAACTGCCACGGCAGAACCACTTGAAGAACCTCCGGGAACATTTGACGGCATATTCGGATTTGTAGGTGTTCCATAATGCTTATTTTCTCCCGTTATTCTAATAATTAAAAAACAAAACTTTTATCACATTTGGCAAATACCCTTCTTCCTAGACAGGGAAAAACCAAATAAAAGGTTACCCAAAAGCCAGTTCGTCCATAACTGTCTTGCCAACACATTTAGCCCCGTTTTTCAACAAAGCAGTAACCGCCACCGCTGTCTTATCAGCCGGCTCGTGTGTTCTCTGCCAATCGGTATTCCCAAACCCCGTTACATAACCCTTCACATCAAATCTGTTACAACCATTAAAATAAATAAAGAAAATATTGAAAAAAGAATTACAAGAAATTATAACTAGTGGGAAAGACCGTGTGAAATGACGAACATGTCCTTGATGGCAAACGTAAGACCCGATAATGGAATTTTGGCGGCGGGTGGTGGCGGCTGAGGGAAAGGAATTAACTCGAAGCGTTCCAAGAAAGCGCCAAAATCTCCGCTTTTGATGATCATCGCTTTCTTCCTTCTTCTTCTACTGGTCTCAACCAGAACTATGATTCCGGCCACTGTTATTCCAGCCACGATCCAAACCTTGGGGTTGGAAATGTTAGTTTTTATTAGATTCAGCGTTTTTGACATGATCGGATTCGGAGCGAAAGGGAAAAAAGGAAAGGAAATGAAGAGAAGGAAGGAGGAAAACGAGAAAAGAAAAAGAAGGGGCTAAAGGGGTTTTGGGAGGGTTTTAGGGGAAAGGACTTTGATCGGTGTGAGAAATTGGAATATGCTGCCGTGCGTAGAGGTAAATGGTTAAGCATGCGTAAACAGGACGCGCTGGATTCCTTCTTTCCTAGGTACAGAAATTTGGTAGCGTGGCAGCTGTAGTCAAGGGCGGATGTACAATGGGGGCAATGGGGGCAATGGGGGCAGCTGCCCCCGCTGAGATCCTAGTATCTTTAAAAATTATTACAAAATTTTTTTATAATTTACTTTCATTAAAAATGAAAAAAATAAAACATATATGAAAGAATAAAATTATAATTACAATATAAATTATTTATTTTAAAAAAATAATAAAGTTACATGTATAAATATAAATAAAATAAATATTTATAAATAATTTTTTACTCAAAAATCAACATTTCATTTAAAAAAATTAAAAATAAAATAAAAAGTGATTTTCTTTCTACTTCACCTATAAATTTTCCCTTAGTCCAAACCTATAAAAATTACAATAAATAGTGAATAGAAGTAAAAAAATAACAAGAGGACAAAGAAAAGCCAATAAACTAAATAAATATATTAAGGGGTGAACTTTTTTTTTCTTCCATCAATATATTTAAGTAAGTAATTACTTTTTTTTTAGATTTTTTCTTTGTATTTATTATCATATGATAAAATATTTGTTTACCATATAATTTTTTTTTATATTGGTAAAATAATTTGATTTGGTGCTTAATATATAATTTATTTATATTTATATTTATATTATAAGTGGATTAAGATCGAAGAATATTGTATTTTTTTAAGTTAATCAATGAAATAATTAAATTTTAATGAAATTAATTTTTATATATAAAATTATATTATTTAATTAAAAGTCAAAATACATAATAAAATATGCATGTTGATTTTGTTTGCATAATTACATTTTAATATCTAACACAAACTATAACATTATTTTCTTATTTTTTTAGAAATTATATAAACTAAATTATCTAATTTAATTGTATTTAAAGAAATATTTTATTAAAAGAAAGTCAATTTTGAATAAATCATTCGAAATCAATAATAATGACACATAATATTTTACAAAATAAATTCATATTTAATTAGATCAAAATGATTTTCATTGAATCAAAACTTATGAAAAAAAAAATGTTAACTATCATCTCAACGAAAGAGATAATGTTTGAAAAGTTTATTTTTTTAATAAAAAACTCATAAAAAATAATTATAATGTGTTATCTTTGTATATAAACAAAATATTTTTTTATGATTGATTATTTATATTATATATTTTTATATTTAATATTATTTATATTAATTACTTTTACTAAATATAAATTCTCTTGTATTAAGCTAATATTAAAGTGCGCTAGTAGTGCCCTGCAGTGTTTACACCGTCCCATTTTTTTGCTTTAATTTCCTCCGTTTGGATAACAATTTGTTGAGTTGGCAACTTGACTAAGGTTTAACTTGGTACGTCGGATAATAAATAAACAGAAAAATATGTTTTTTACAGTATACTTGATAGAAAATATGAATAAATGAAAAAAAAATAAGTTTTTCGTTCTTTGCGTTGTATGATTTAAAAAATGAGAAAATGGACTATAAAAATATACTATTTTACCATTATACATATTTTAAGTTGAGATAAAAAAAAAATCTAAAAAATAGTGAATAATCTTATAAATAAACACACTCACATCTTTTTCGTTTTTTTCTTTTCCTATGTTTTTAATTTGAAGTTATTTATTTATGTTAATAAGAGTAAAAATTGTAATTTATATGATAAAATTGTATTTCTTTTTATATCTTTGTCAGTTATAAATGTAAAATAAAATGATATCAAAGTAAAATTTTACCAATAAGAAAGTTAGTAACAGTTTTATAGAGGTATGGTGATAGCCAATAAACAAGTTAATAAAGCATAAATAACTTAATTGTTATTTAACAATTAAGTTATTATATTATCAAAAGCGTTATTATCACTCATGATTTGAAATCACATTATTTAATTAATAATTGTTAATGTTTAGTAATTAAATATCACTGTATTTATTATTTTTAAAAATTAAATATTATTTTATTTATATGTACAAAAATCGTCATTCTTATTGTAATAATTACATAAATTAATAATTTTAATATAATTTAAAGATAATAGTTTATAAAATATTAATAATATTTTATTTATTTTATAATAAAATTTAATTAAATTATTACATTAATAAATATATTTATCAATAAGTAAATTAATTTTTATAATAAAAATTATATAAAAATATTTGAATTAGAAAATAAAATTAATCTATTAATTTCATAAAAATTATTATTATATATAAAATATTAAAAAAACAAAAATTATTTTCGAATTTATTATAATAAATATTAGTTTTTAATTTTAAAATTTTATAATATAAAATAATTATAATTTTAAGCATAAAACAAATTTTTACTTTAAATATTAAATGAATAATATTGATTATTATTAATTTTATATATTATTTTATTTCAATAATAAAATTTTTTCAATAATTATGATTTTAAAATTATGCTCCAAAATAATAATGATGTGATTACTTTCAATAATTTAATATGACCGTCACCAAAAATCATCTAGTGCTTGCTAATAGAGGCTGAGTCTCAAAGGAACCCGAGCAAGCCTCGGCCCCCCAAAGTTTTGCAAATCCTTTAATGCGATGTTAGTGAGCTAGTCATAATAGTTTAAAAAATAGATTGCTTATAAGATTAAATCAGCAATTGTTGGTAATAAATTTTTAGCTTTTTTAATTTTTTAAAATTTCATAATTTATTCTTTTCTCACTCTTTTATATGATAGCATGATTTGTTTTTTCATATGAGCAGATATTTAAAACAATTACATAAGCAATTGTTTCTAGTACACTTCACTCCTTTTATATATATTATATTATATATACTATAATTATAAATTAGCTCTCATATTAAAATAGTTATTTGTTAATTTTATTTTTAATTTAAGTTTAACAATTGTAATTTGTAAGAAATTAAAATTACATTATTATTTGTTTATTTATTATATCTATAATCATTATTCACGCACTCTTAAAAATAATAAATTTGTAAAAATATTAATCACATTCATATAAACTTAAAAAAAAAAAAAAAACAAATTAACTCTATAGCATTTTCAACAAGATTACAACTTTTCAACCAATACCAAAGGTGTTTTTTTTTTGCTAGCACTAATCTTCTCATATGTTTGTGACTTTTTTTTTTTTTTTGTTTGATAAAACTTCAAATAAATTATGTTAATTCATCGAAATCTTCATTTTTTTTAAGTATATGTGTTTGACACATATGTAACAAACGTGAATATAAAGATTGAACAATCTAAAACTAATGAAAAACTTTTAAAAAATTTGAATATTTTTGTTGAACAAATAAAGCATGTGACACTAATTCTCAAATTTGAATAACATAATAAATAAATATATATAATTTTAATTGAACCCCTGAAAATCAGACATTAAGATCCATCACTGCTTACCTAACACAATGATCTAATCACTGTGTAAATCATTATGATTTTAAAACGATCATCGCATACCAAGCTCGTAGACACAATGATATAATAACTATGTGTAAATCATTATGATTTAAAAATGATCATCGCATACCAAGCTTGTAGAGAGAATTTAAAGACCCATTTTCTTTTTCATATTATTAATAACCCAAAGAGAAGAAGCTGGTCCAACAGGTTGTAGCTTTTTCAACCAAATAATATACTTAATATTTTGCTACTACAGTGACTGCATGCAGCCATACAGTTCTATAGAAATCCAGGTAATCTCAATGGCTTCGGAGCTGCAATTCAAATTATACAGAAAAATGATGGAACGAATCTACAAATTGAAGAAATCAAGCAAATATCAAGCCGCACGACCCTAAGTGCTACAACTTCTAATTTTACACATTTTCACCATGATGCATTTCATGAGATTGCTACATGGTGTTTGCACATTGATTCGTACCTTATGCAATTGAGGAACTGTTCTTCCGTAGCATTCAGTCTACATTTACCCCTTGAAACGAACTACAATACAGGAGATATCATCCTTACTCTCCCTGTTCAATGCCTCCACCACTAGCTGTTTAGCTGCCCTCTGCGGGTTCTTGGTCTTTTTTGCAATATCAACTGCTTCTTGATTGGACATGACCTGCATTAAATTGCATACAGCATGATGAAAAATAAACAACACATGAGAAATTATTGGTCTTCAGAGAAATGGATCACCTTCCATAGTCCATCACTTGCAAGGATGAGAAGTTCAGTATCCGAGGCAATATCAGCATTTTGTATGTCAGGATCAGACCGGAGGTGTGATTTAAGGTTCTTGTCTCCAAAAGCACGAGAAACAGCAAGTTGACCATTTACTCTTGCAACATCTCCTGGGATAAAATGCAACCAAGATCAATTATCATGGAACAGATAATCTAGAATGGCAATAGTAAGTCATCATCATACAAGAGTTTAGTATTGATTAATTTGCCTTCAGAAGGATTTCATAAGAGCAGCAACTAGATTTGACAAGATGGAACAAAAGGAAAAGAAAAAGAACAAGCAAACACAAACAAACAGAAAAAAGAAAGAAAAAAGGCAGTAACTAAGTCTAACAAATAAAGAGAGAGAGATTGTTTTTGTATTTTGCTATTGTCCCTTGTTTCAGTTCATTTTATTTTTTGTTTTTCACTTACTATTGAAAAAAGCAAATAGCAAAAGCATCAATCAAACAGAATGTAGGTCTAAGTATTTGTCATGCATATACGCAAACCTGGCATGAATTTGAGAAATATATCTCCAACTCTCCATGTAGTTGTCATATGCATGCGCATGGACAGCCAAGGAATTTGTAAGTCTCCCCAAAGTAAACTTTTTTACTTTCATTCAGTAATTAAAAAAACAATTTCCTTAAAGAAAAGATTAGACATAAGCACAGTGTACTTGTCAAATAACCTGGCATGTTTGAGACAAAGCCACCTCTGTTCTCAATGCTTCCCCGCTCTGTGTTGGGCTCATGATCAATACTCATCTGTATGGCTTGCCCTTTCTTTGAGAGAACAGCACGTGAATCTCCAATATTGGCTACCCATAATTTGCGCCCATCTATCAAAATTGCAGTGACAGCAGTGGATCCCCCTCGTCCCAAGTCAGGATTGTGTGAGAGAATTGCCTGGTCTGTCTTCTCATAAGCTTTTGAGATGGACCTGATTGGATCAGTCCAAAACTCCTCCTGCAATTTATTATAACACAAGGTAATTATATATTCTAACAACTAATAAATGTGGCCAGAGATTTGTAATCATAACAATCATTTCAAGGGCAACTAAAATTTCTTCCTTTGCCTTTGATTTTAGTTCATTATCACTGGAATTGGAAAAGGCATGTTATTCTCTACCCAACATTCCCACCTTCCAATCACCTGAGCTAACCTTATGCGGCTATCACCATAGGATTGCTAGATCAACAAAGACACTCTTTCAACTGCAGTATAGAACTGACAAGAATGATTCCTTTTGACTGTGGTAACCAATTTGCCTCCTAGCCCTTGTGGATTATTCATATTTGATTGATCAAATAACTTACATCCTTTAAGATATTGGAAAACAAATGCTTTTGCAAATAGGCAGGTACACTATCTCCCAGATGGCCATCATATATAGCAAAAAGTCCAAGTTCATGTCCTTGAAGTTGAGCAAACTTTGCAACATGATAATCCTCCATTGGATGATTTGCTTTTCCTTTAACTAGGGTGAAGCCATACTTGACAGGGCCTTGCTGGCTTCTGCCCTTTCCAGAGCTACATGAAGAACGTCCTCCAACAACCTAAAAAGAAGAAGAATAATAACTTTTAGAATAGTTCAGAAAATTGGAATCAGGAGAAGAAACTTTTAACTGAATCCCCAAAACATGAACCAGGAAAATCAGGAAGAGCACTTATCTCAGGGTAAACCTATTAGACTCCTTTAGCTGTTATCAAAAACTAGGATTGGAAAATCAGTCCAGATGCTTTTATGATTTTTTTTTTTTTTGAAAAAAAATCCTACCAAAGCTAAAAGAACAATAAGTTTGTTAGTAAATGCAAGTAGGGGGGGCATAAGTCGGTGCCAACCAAAAAAGCTGACCGAAACCGACTGTATTTGGTTTATTCGGAACGGTTAATTTTGGTTTCAAGTTTAATCGGCTAGGCTAAACAGTTTGTTGGGTTATTCCAGTTGGTTTTCAGTGTCCAAATTTGATAACCTAACCGAACTTTATTTATTTATTATTTTTATAATTTATATTTAAATAAATGAAATACGTATTTTTTATTCTTCATTTTAACTCTAATACCCATTACCCAATATATGAACAAAATCCTTCACCCTTTCACTCTTATTCTTCATTTTAATTCCTAATTCTTAATTCTTATTCTCATTTCATCTGCAGTCTGATCTCCTTTTTTTTCCCCTCTTCTCAATTTCACCCTTTCACCACACAGGCAGCAGCACTCCCTCAGCCTCGCTCTTCAATTTTCAGTCTTCTTGGGCAGACTGAGCACAGGCTGTAGCAGCAGCCAAGGTCTCTTTTTCACCCCTCTCTTCATTCTTCTTCTTTTTCAAAATTATTATTTACTGAAAGTTTGTGGTTGTATTTTAGTTTCTGTCAAAATGTTTTTTGCTTCCATCAAAATCGCAGATTGGAATATTCTGGCATTTAAGAACAAAATTATTAGTTTCATTTTGGTATTTTGATAGAGAGGGTAGACAAAAGAAAAGATAGGTGAAAATGTAATATGTTGCTGCTGCAAATGACATTGCAATTCTGTATTTTGATGAATATGTAAGTTTGTGGGATTGTCTTTTAAATATTTATGTTGAACTCAAATGTAAAATGCTGGTAAAGATAGGTAACCAATTGAACTTAGTAAGTTTCAGTCACTTCCGGTTATCTTCTTATAATCAGTTGGTTTCGGTTATTTTTTTAAGTAATTTGGTTAATTAGGCTATTGAATTTTTCTCACCAAACTGACAGAACACTCGGCCCTAAATGTAACAGTATTCACACAATGCAAGAACAAAATTATTGATATTCTTCAATGCCTTTTAACAAATCCAACCCAAATAATAAAAAGAATACAAATCCTAACTTGAGTAAAACAGGTAATAAGAACCCTAAATGAATAGAAAAACCAGTATGGTATATTTTCCATATTTTGCATATGATATTAGAATAAATAATACGCTACAGAAAAATGCATTAAAGCTGTGTCAAATTTATTAATCAGTGTTCTCACTAAAGGTATCCCGATTTGAATAATACGTAAAAGAAAAAGTTCTTAGTTCTCCTTTTTCTCATTTAATGATTCTTCAATCTCACTGTTCCAATGCACTGAATCATCTAAGCCAAATATTGTTATAGTCCACAGATTTGCTTTACCAAAGAAATTAGCACAATTTCCCACGAAGCATGCATACAGACATTTTTTATTTTAAAGTTACAGTTTGAAATTTCACATAGCTTATTCTCTTTTTTCATTTCTCCCTTGTTCACTACTGGAAAACTTTGGTGTCGAACGCACTTGAAGTAAAACAAACACAAATCTGCTAAACTAGATCATGCCCTTGCGAAATTTAACTAAATCACCAACCAAAGATATCCAAGCATATATAAACATGGTATGAATCAACTTGGAAACTGATTATAGATTTAGAAAATACAAATATATAAGTGAAATTGAGAACTACAAATAAAATAAAATAAAAATTGCCAAAGAGAGTGGAGATAGGCTGACCTGAGAATAAACAGAGTTGAAGCAACATAGGTTATCCATATAATTCAACCGTCTCCAGACTTCTCACCTCCTTTTGCTAGCACTCAACATCTAAAAGAAAGCAAACTTTTTTTTCCAAGTATTCCTCAACCTGCATAATCAAAGAAATAAAGAAAGAAAACAATCTCGATCATCAAACCAGGCAAAACCCCCAAGTAAAAAACAACCTTAAAACCGCCATAAAACTCGTGCAAACAAAAAATCAACACAAAATCATGAAAAGCGTATCTCAAAATTTTTCCTTACCGATCCACCAAAACACCCAATTCCCAAGAAACTTAAGAAAACAAAAAGCCACAGCTGTATAAGACTTGAATTGCCTAATTCTTTGATTCACATTAAAAGGCAAGAGCTTGCCCTTGTTGACTTTTCGCTTTGCCTGTATTTGGTTTTTTCCTCTTTGTTTACTGACTACTACTAGGAAAGGCAATAATTTTTTTTATCTTTAGAGTTTATTGTTTATTGTTTTAATGTTATTCCAAGATTATTACTGCCAAATAAACAAAACCGCTGTTCCTTTTCTTTTTTTTTTTTAATTTTTATAGATTTGATAAGTTTCACTTTTCTAAATCTCCATTAAATCGGTGCTTGAAAAACTGGTATTTGGAATTTTTGGATCAGTCACCTGTGGGTTAAGTGGTTAGTAGTGGGGTTGCGGACCCCTTCATTGAAAAGTCAGCCCATTTTTTCAACCGGCAACCAGCTTTATTTAATTCCATTTATTAATTTTTAATTAATATGATGATTATTAGTATTTTATTATTATAGGGATTGATTTGGTCTCCAGTTCCAAATTTAGGCTTTCATTTTTCAACCCTAAGCCCAACCCAAAAATCAAAACTTACCGCGAACTAGCTTTATCATTCAATGGACCATAATCAAATTGGAAAAATAACTAACAGAATTAATCTCTTGCTCAAAACAATTCTTAAAAGAAGAATTTTCCATCGGATATATTATATTTAAATTCTCCAAAATCACTTTTTTTTTTTTTTTGCATTACATATATGCTAAGAGATCATGGGGGGTATGGTAATGCTAACTTAATCATTATTTAAATCCGATTCATTGGCATCTATCATTGCTTGAGAAAATCTTTTAAATCATCATCGATTTGTCCACATAATGCTATCTACTTTTTTATTTAACGAAAAGGGATAGTTAAATTCAATTCTTTGAGTGTGGAATACATATATAAGATTTAAAGACTCGAATGTATAATAAAATTATTAATAATTAAATTTTTATTATTAAAATTAATAATTTAATATTTTATTAACAAATCACATAATTATTATTAAATATATATTATATTATTTCAGTTGATTCATATAACCTATTTCTAAGAAGTAATATTAAGACATTCAACAAATTTAAAATTTAAATATCAAAATATATTCTATTTTTTTTATCTTTAAATTATGATTTTTTTTTATAAAAGAAATAAATAAAGTACATAAACGTATGAAATTGCATATAATAGTATTAATTACCACCTATCATTTTAATTTTTTATTTTTGTAATTTGGCTATAAATAGACAAGGAAAAAGATGTAAGCCAGCATCTGTCTTGTCTATATCAACATTAAACCAATTGGTGTTGATGGGTTAAGTAATAAATAAAACCGAAAGATACTTAGATTATGTCGCCAACCCAAATTTGTTGTTATTTGTAAACATATTTGAATTTTATTTATACAGTTTTTTTTTTTTTTTTGAGAGACATTCAATAAATTTAATAATCAAATCTTAACCTTTATAATATTTTTTTAATATTTAAATTACAAGGTTTTCTTTATTAAAAGAATTTTATTTATTATCTTATGAAGAGCAACGAGTAAGAAGCTAACATAGCCTAATAAAAATCACATTAATCCTCAAAATTTGATGATATACAGACTTAAACGTCGCCCTCTGGTCGTCCCTGTCTAATGAATGTTTCAGTCAAACGATCGCGATGAATTTAAACATCAACAATTCTCATATCATTTTTTAAATAATTGATTAATTTCTTTTTCTCTTGGAACATAAAGGAGTAGGGATTTGAACTTGAAATTTCTATAATCTTAAACGAGAGTAACAACTGTTGATTCAAACCTGAATTGTTAAAAATTATTAAAAAAATAAATAAATTTAACTTTAAGCAATACTTTTATTTAATATTTTGCTATGTGGAGAGCTTCATTTTAGGGAAGAACAACATATGATATACGAAGTCAAGTCAAGCCAGAAAACAGCAATAACCGGTTAGCTTCAGCATCGATGTAATCACACATTGTAAGTTGTAACCATTAACAAAGCAAAAGCAAGGTATGTCTGTTGCGAAATCAACGAATATGCCACCAACTATGTACACGTGGCATGTTCCTTCTTTCTATGTGTCTTCCTTTCTCTCCACGTGTCCCTACCCTCCACCCCCTTCTCATTCCTCTTCTCTCTGTCAATTACAGTTTTATCTGTAATTGTTTCCTATGGATTCTTTTCTCTTTTTTTGATGATCATTTGCCATTGGTTATTTGTTTTCATTGTATCATAGTTTGCATGCAGAGTGCAATGGTGAGAGCAAAAGGTTTTGTTTTAATGGAGAAAATATTGTTGAAAGATGGAGGAATGTTTGATTGGTGGGATGAGATTGATGAATCAGAGGAATGGCAGAGATTCATTTTCTATTTCTTATCTGCTTCCTATGCTTTTGTTTCCTTTGTTGCCCTGGTAATTTCTTTCTTGATTCTTCCCTTTCCTTTTACTCAGAAGCATTTTCATGTTTAATTGTTATAAACCATTGTTTCCAATGGGAAAAATAAATGGAGTTGGAAGGAAACAATGTGATCAAATGAAAATTTGAAAGCTTGAATCTTCACTTGCATGCATGTGATATGTTGAGTAATCTTGCGTGAATCCTTGCTGCATTATTGGTTCACAATCAAATAGTCAAGATTTTCTTTCTTTTTTGTATCGTTGATTGTTTTAAATTCAGCAGAAGGGAGCACTCAGGACTGAAAGGTTAATTTGTTTGAAAGAATATAATGGTTTTTGTGACGAACGTATTATTGAATTTTCATTTTTGATTGGTGATTCTGCGATCAGATACCTATGTATGTTGCTTCAAGAATGCTCATTGCATTACCCTGAAAAATTAACCTTTGCCACTGTTGCCTTTAGGCAACAATTAAGAGTGCTATTCTTTAGCCTTGTAGGGGAGATTTTCTTCCAAAGTAATTGCCTCGTATTTCTATAGTGAATAGATCATCAACAAAGAAGAGTACTTGTTCTTTCTATCAAAAAGTGAAATTGGAAGAGGGATTCTAGAACTACTTGGTGCCGTAGTGTTAGTCCATACGTGTTTGTTTGCAATTGTAATCTCATTGAATTGCTGTCAAGATTGTGTCTGTAATGTGCTAGTGAGATTCATGTAAATCCCAACACTGCTATTTTCCCTCAACTTTAATGTTATCTGTCCTAAGTCATGATCACACAATAGAAGATCATGCTTTCTAATGGCATTAATGCTTCAAATTTTAGGTGCAACTATGCCGAATTCAATTGAGAGTGCCAGAGTATGGGTGGACAACACAAAAGGTTTTCCACTTGATGAACTTTATTGTGAATGGATGTAAGGGTTGTGTATTATCTGCATTAGTTCTGCCAGCAGCTGTTTTATAACATTGCTAAAAAATTGTACTAAATTTTAACAGTGAGGGCTGTTCTCTTCGGTTTCTACAAGAGTGTGTTTCTTGTTAAATCCAAGGTATGCATCGATGTTTAGAGTCAATGCTCCAGTTTTTATGTTGTTACTTCTGGTGAAAGAGCATTTGAAGCATCTATATGAGTCTTTGTTATTCTGAGACTCTTTTGATTTCTGATACTGCTAAATAAGAAAACAGATGGATGGCCATGTCAACTTAGACCTTCATAACAATGATTGCCAAGTTGGGTCTTTGGCTGTAATGTTTGGATGTAAAATGAAATATAAATATATATATATATATGTGTGTGTGTGTGTGTGTGTGTGTGATGTCAGAAAGTTCATATTGTTTAAATTCCAATTTCAATATTAGGAAATTGAGTAGAGTAGTTGATTATTGGAAGTAATAAAGGCAAGACAAAAGATAGTTGGAAACCTATTAGTTTGTGATCTGTTGCAAACCCTTGCGATTTTCTCCATTTTCTCTGTATGTGTTCTCTCTTTGGAAGCAGACCTCTGTTTCTAATCCCGGACACCTATGGCAATAGTTGTCATACATCAATATCTTTAGTGGCTTTATATATTATCTTTCTTGTGTTCTGCTTCACCGCCTCAAAATAACATTATGGTACAGGCGCTTGAAATGTTGCTTCTGGATCTTCCTGGTCTTTTATTTTTTTCAACATATACGTTGCTTGTCCTTTTTTGGGCAGAGATATATCACCAGGTAGACAACCATCCCTTGCTACAAAGTCATTTTACATGTTTAATCTCTATAGTACATTGATGCTCATGGATTCTTCTCTCTTTTTATTGCTTAGGCAAGAAGTCTTCCCATTAATAAACTTAGGCCTGCATACTATAGCATCAATGGATTTATATATTTTGCTCAGGTAAAAGTAACAATTTAATTGCACATCAGCAATAACTACACCTAAGAAGGAAATGATGGTTTTTCTGATTTCACTTAGTAAAATGATCTAAGCAGCCTATCTGTTTCCTATGCTTACAGGCATGCATATGGATTTCTGTAAGATTAAGTCAGAGCCGGCTTGCGGTGGAACTTGCTAGACTCTTCATTTCAGGTAAGTTTTTCTGCTTTGAATCTGTTCATTTGCCCCATTAAATTTGTATTAAACTGACAAGAATTGAACTGAAATAATTTTGAATTTTTCAATGCTATATCGTGGTTTGAGTAATCCTTTTATAAAGTTAACGAAAGAATAGCTTCCTAGGAAGCAATGGACATATCTGGTGACTGAAAAGCTACTGCACTGGTGTGTATCTTTTCCTTTTCATTTGCAGTTATTTCATTCTGTGCGGCGCTAGGATTCATGATATATGGTGGGAGGTAAGAGTTGACGTCAACCCTATCAAAGATTTCAGGTTTTGTTGCTTCTCTATTCACTTCTCAATTGTTTTTGTCGATAGGTTGTTCTTCATGTTGAGACGTTTCCCTATTGAATCTAGAGGTCGTCAGAAAAAGCTGTTTGAGGTTTGTTAATTTGTAATATTAAAGAATTTAGCATTGTCAAAGGTGCCTTGTGAATGAAAAGAAAGATGTTAACTTTGATATCCTCTCTACTGTTTTCCCTGTGTTATCCTCTTACGATGTGGTTTTAGGAGCATGCAAGGAGTCTAGCACTAACAGTGACCTTACTTCAATGGCAGGTTGGTTTTGTAACAGGGATCTGCTGTGCTTGTTTCTTGCTAAGATGCTTTGTGGTAAGCCTAGTTTGATTTAAAGCAAATACTACATAAACTTCTCTATATGTAACAAAAATCATTTCTATGTGGTTTTGTTTTACAGATGACACTCTCGGCCTTTGACAAGAATGCTGATCTCAATGTTCTAGATCATCCAATCCTAAATCTTATCTATTACATGGTACATTTGATTTCTGGAGTGTGCTACTCGTTCATTCATGCTATAATTAGATGGAATTCCAGTCATGTTAGACCGGTTTGTTTGCTTAAGACTCGATATAGTTTGATGCATTATGAATTTCATCACGATATTATGATAACTAGAGCGCATGAACAACCAAGCAGAAGCAGCTGAACGTCTAAAAGTAAATTCATTTGATTAACACAAAAAATTCTACTCTGGGCAAAAGCACATGATTTGGGAGCTGGGATTTTGTTGTCCTTCCTCTTCGACAAACACTTCAGGTTAATAGATATTGATGTGCTAATGTTCAGTTCAGGATCACAGTAAATCTAGATAGCAGCGTACCGGATAAGTGAAAGCATGTTGCAAAATTTTTATGAATATTTGCCAGTTTATTCTAGGAGCTTACCCTTTTGCCTTCCTAATTGAGCCATGCATTCTGAAGGTATTTACGCTGGTTTTTTCATTTTTCTTCTTGTGGGTGGGTGTGACAGTTAGTAGAAATTCTTCCATCAGCTTTGGTGCTGTTCATCCTTCGAAAATTGCCTCCAAAGCGCGTTTCTGATCAGTACCACCCCATTAATTGAAGAGATGAATGCATTAGTACCTGCAACTTCAAGATTAAATGCTCTGGAAAATGTAAGAGCTGCTTGATCCATGGTCTAGATTTCCTCACTGTCACAGAACTTCTCATGTATATTCACCCTACTTTTTCTCAACAGATATCCACTTCGTCAACTTTTTGCTACTATAATTCAAAAGTAGCAAGAGAATTTAACATGTATTGTCTTCGCAAGTGATAACATGCAGCGGGGGAATGCTTTTCAATTACTGGTTTCATTAGCACAAAAAATTACTAAAAGAGAGAGAGAGAGAGAGAGAGAGAGAGAGAGAGAGAGAATTGCCATTGCCAATAGGCAACCAAATTTTCAAGAAACTAAGCAGGGACCTCTATTTTATTTTGATATGTTTGCGAAAAACTCAATTTTGCTTTTGATGGATTACTGATGAACATACCCTGTTTATTTTTAGTTTATCAAATTAATCGATGAACGAGGGATTTAAATTTTCATAGAATGAACTGGTTTGTTCTATACTTCTAGATACAAATTCCTTCAGGAAACCCTTGAATTCCAATCTACTTGCTTTTCATTTGTTAATGAAACAAAAAAAAAAAATTGAACAGAAATGAAACACACAAGGAATCAATATGTTCACATTCCATGAAATATCAGAACCACAATAATTAGCCCTACTAACAAAGTAAACTCCAAGCCACTCATCCTCCCTCTCAACAGATTTTACAAATAAATCTCCCACACACTCAGCAACCAATAAATACTGCTCCAACCCTTCAGTATTAAAAACTATTAACCTGGAAAGTAAAACTGCTTTTCTATGTTACCTAGAAACAAGCAGAGTAGTACATTAGACCCTAAGATTGTTAGATATATTATATTTACAGACAGAATGAAGTTAACACCTTCATAATGCTGCAAAGAAGCTGCCTGTCTATGTACAGTTTGGACATGCAGGAGCCTAATCAAATGCAATAGACATGAAAGTGTCGTCATCCAAAAGAGAGTCAATGTCGATAAGGTCTTCATCACCATCAGTCACTTCTTCTGTACTGTTCATAACCATATTGCAAGCCTGTAGAAGAATATCTCTAAACAATTCAGTCCTATAATAAAATATCAAGTTAAAAATAGTTGTTGAATACAAATTTTATTCTTAAGAAATTTGTTGGAACTGACTATAATAAGCACATTTTCACAATCAGAATTATGGCATATGCGCTATCAGTGTGTCTTCACAAAACTAAAACGAACAGAGAGAGAAAAGATGTAGAGACAAACAGATGGAGAGCTCAAAAAAATTACAAAATAACTTTAGGTCTTCATAATTCTGACATACAATCTCAAGAATTTAAAAATTGGTCTCATAAGAGTTGGAATAATCTTAATAATCAAAGAAAAGAGAGCTCAAACCAGGCAGATGATTGGCCTTAAGCAACACAAAGGTCTCTGAATAACCAAACAAAAGCTTATCCAGAATAAAGTTGGCCTTGGCCAGCTACCGTCCAGATGAAGCAATAGTAAACGACAAAAACTAGGAAAGTTCAAGGTGCAAAGCCACTATCTGTCATGGCTATCTAACTTCATTAAAGCCTGCCGAATTGTCAACTTTACTAAAGTAGAAATTTATGTCAAACAAAACAACAAATACCTTGTTTTCACGAATCCCTTGAACCAACGTCAGCAGCCTCCGATATTGACCTCGTCCTTCAGGATTCTGAGCCATCGACTTTACCCTAGTAAGTGCCTTCTGCAGCCTTTCTTCGGTTTGTTTTCTTCCCTCTTTAAGAAAATCATAATCATCCTCTTTCGAAGGCATGCACTGTGGATCAGGTTCCTTGGTAATTGCATCCCGTCGAAATCCTCGCAAACCACTCCCTTTACGTCTCCACCGTAAAATAACTTTCTCCAGAATTCCCACTGACCAGATGATTGTTCTATACTGTTTCCTCACCTGGTGTCCTCTAACATGGGCCTTCACACCATAATATTCAATTTCAATTTCAATTTCAAGATTTTATAGTTTGGAGGCAAATAATAGATCAACAAATCCAGAAACTAACATTGTTAAACTTTATGATAAAAAGTCAATTCATTTTCCCCCCATTTTTTTTATACATAAATACAGAATACAGTAAACATTGATACAATACAAGAAAGGACAAAAGTCGGGGCAGTAGGAGCCAACAGAAATCAAATGGTCAAAACACCTAAATACAAAAGACCCAAATCCCTTTATGTTCTTCTCTAAAATAAGTCAAGTCGAAAAATTGCCTATGAAACACATCATGCATCAAAAAGTCATCAAGGTTGCCATAGAGAGGATGGCATACCATTCAGCATAAAGCAAACACATAGAGACAATCAGATTAAGACATAGCCCTTTTCCACGAAAAAGTTAAGAGAAGAAACATAGACCAAGAAACTAAAACATCAGCGAAGACAAAAGCAGCAATGAACCTGGATTTTAACAATTCTCTGCCGGATCAATAAGAATTCTTTTCTTTTCTTCCAACCACGAAACTTTTTCTGGATTTGTGTTGCAGCAGCATGGGCTACCCCATCACTTTGCAATGGCCTGCGTGCCTTAGCAGTTAGAAATGAAATAGCATGCTCATCAGACACACCATCACCAGACTCACTCAATTGTTTCCGCTGGAAGGACTGCATCCTGAACATTTGATATATACGATCAGCAGCTTGTGTGGCATTACATACAGCAGTAATTGAGTCCTTCAGTGACAGCGTGTCTTGCACATCACTATCACTCACAGGAGTTGCTATTCGCTCTGAAACTGTTTGTACAGCTTCCTTTTGATCATTCATTGTGAGAGAAGACAGGTAACTAGTCAAGGAAGATTCTGCAAGGAAACCAGAGATTCCTTTGTGTCCATTACCAGAAGCCAAGTCTGCAGGAGTTCTGCCCAAAGGAAATTCTGGAGATGGGTCCGTAAGTACTCCTGGTGCAGCTCCCAGGGAGACTAGAATGGCAACTATTTGCTCTCTGAATTTTGCAAAAGAGATTCAGATGCACAACAAAAGCACTATAAGTTTGGCTTCTAATAATGCATTTATTTTATCAAAAGCCAAGAAACTAATGCAATTACACCTAGATGTTGTTAAATGATTTCATAAACAAAGTACATATTCAAATTACTGCCAGTTCAGTCAGAAAATTGTCAGATTATAAATTGAAGGCTCTAGGTGTAACACAAAAATGAAGCCTGCATATAACACAAAGGAGTAAGAGTAAGTTTAGAGGCCCTTGCCTGCCACAGAAAGCAGCCCAGTGCAGTGCAGTCCATCCATTCACATCACGAAAATTTATACTAACTCCAGCATTAACAGTAGGCTTTATTGCCCAATCATACCCAAGTGCAGCCGCTAAGTGTAGTACACCTTGGCCCTTCTCATCTAATATATTTGGCCCTTTACCATCTTCCATGATTTTGTGAAGAAGCCATGAGTACAACTTCTCTTTCATCAATTTCTGAAGGAGGCACTCCTTTTCTTTATGTTGAGACAAATCCTTGTCAGATGAGGGGTCTACAATCTGGTGGCATTCCTCCTCTTTCATTGATATAATTTTAGTAAGTAAGTCTCGTTTCTCCCCTACAACTTCAAAATGACGATTAGGAGGACTGAAAGATTTCAGAGAAAGTAACACATCAAATTGCAGCAGCATTTCTCTTGAAGTAACACCATAAATATCCGAAACATTTATGTCTTTAGCAAATCCTGCTCGGAAGTCAAATTCTCGGACTTCACTACAAGCTAACCTGTTGGAGCATGTAACATAAAATGGAACTTGCCCAACACAGTGAGGTGGAACATGGCAAGAAAGAATACCATTCGCAATAACCTCAGCTGGAACCTCAACTTCACCAAACATACATGACCAGTTATATTTTGCTACTTCCTCTTGACTCCTCAAAAATGTTCCAATAATCAGCACCTGTTTCATGATGCAGAACATAAGAAGGGGAAAAAGTCCATTTTTACAAACTTGGCATCTGTCAAATAAGAATGGACATCACAAGAAATTGAACCCATGCTGAATAGACATTTAAAGAGGGGGGAGGGCTGTTGCATGACTTTCAACAATACTTACAGCGGGAAGGATAATGTAATTGTTTGATGTGTGTGTGTGTGTGTGTGTGTGTGTGCACATATGTGTACAACAATTAAATTTAAGTGAAAGAGAACAAAAAGATTATTAAATGAAAGCATTGAGACTTGCAAGTAATTAACACGATAAGGCTAAGCACACATCAAAGTCCCAGAAAAAAGTAATGTGAATAAGATAAAGTTGAACAATGCACAAGTAATACAAACATGACAAAATTAACTATTTTTCAGTAAGAAATCTGGTGAGAGAAAAGGCTAAGATCATAAGCAAGTAGTTGATTAAAATCTTCATTTTGCTAGTTGCTATAGAAACTTAACTTCTCTGATACAATAAAAACTTTAATACCTCAGTTTCCAAGTCTATGTAAGCCCACTTCGGTGAAAAGTCCAATATGCTGAAAAGTTGGTCTTGGGAGAGAGAGGGGCTCAAAGAGGCATCCTCAGATACATTTCCACACTCAACAGTGCTCCAGGCAATACCAGATGAGGACTGCATCTGCAGATCATCTACTTCTCCAAGTTCTTTAGTAATCCACCTCGAAAAACTGTCAACTTTTTTCAAGCTTTCTTCTCCATCAAGTAATGATTTTTTCAGAGAGAAAGAATAGTTGACATTTCCATCCAAATGCATATCATTCTCAGGATATGTTTTCATGACAGAATTAGAATCTTCATTGATAAGCGGCATTTGAAGGGTTTTATACACAGGCTGCTCATTTAGAACATCATGACCAGTAAATTCCTCAAGAGCATTTGGTAAATGAAAATCATGAGTCTTTTGCTCAAATAACCTAGTATCATATGGCAATTCAAAATTTGATGATGGATCCATGGGCCATTTGGGCAACTCTGAGGAATTGTCAGCCAAAGGAACCTGAAAGATGTACTTGAATTAGAACATCTATATATCATGAATTTTGAGAAAAGATCCAAATAAGTTTAAACATCAAAAGTACAGAAAGTGCAAACAAATCAGTGGAGAAGTTTGGTGAAAAAAGTGGATATTTTGTGACTACATACTCTGGTTATTACTTAAAATCAATCCTTTTGACGTTACACAAGTCAGTAAGAAACTGAAACCTGACAGTTTTCCTTAACTGTCTAATTTTAATAAACTCTCACACATTTCAATGCTGTATGCTCAATAAAGGATGAAAGTTAAAAGAATACCGACTTCTTGCATTAAAACAAAATTAGATAAAACATTTTGCATTAGTGATGAGATCAAGATACCACATTAAGACATTAAAAATTCCAGCATCTAGGCTTACACAATTTCTACATAAACTGATAGATTATATACAAAAAAACTTGATTACAAAAAGCAGTATGATATAAATTTAAATATTAGTTTTTAAGTCTCAATCTCAGAATTTTGACCATGAGATGCAAACTAAATGATTTATAACTAAGGTATAAAATGCAACTACCAAGAATACCTGCCAATTTGATTGTGTTGGCAGAGGATTTCCAAACTCCTCACCAGCACTCTCTCTAGTTAATTGCTTGCCTTTCATCATGTTCTCTTGTTGCAGGCTGATGCTCATAGTATCAGGTTGAGTAGCAGTCATTGATGCATGAGAAGATGCAGCTGCATATACAGGCATATATTGCTCCAAGCCTTGTTCCCAAGATGCCAAATCAAGTGTTCTTTGAGCTTCAGTCATGCAAGTGCCGTAATTAATATCCCCAGGTCTATCTCCGTGGAGATGTGAAACTTCATTTAATCCAGGAATTAATGAGACAATGATCATATTATAAGAGTTTCAAGTTTCCATCTGGCTCAAATGCAAAATCATGCCAAAGCTTGATGCATAAAGCAATTAACAGAAGCTAGCTGATGAAAACGAAGTCATAAAAGACAATGCTACCTTGAAAGGGATGTGGAGGATAAGGACTCAAGAAGCCAGGATCCAGCTTGTCTATCACAGTAGCATTTCCTATTTGGAGCGATGTACGGAATCTCGAACTTGCCTGGTGACTATCCTCTGCATGATATCTCATATAAGTTGCAATGGAAAGTTGTACACAGGATGAAGGAGGAAAAAAAGGCAACTTAACCACCATTACATATATTGTCAGAAGGATATGAATATGAACAAAAATACAGGGGAAAAAAATACCAGAATCAGCATCTTCACATAAGGATGTTAAAGTGCTGGTTGGGCTAGCCGAATCTGCATTTCCAGAAGGTGCTTTTGTATGACTAACAGAATAGCTAGAAGTTGAAGGACTGCTTGTTTGGGAATTTGACACATCACTGGTCTCTTTTATGCCTCCAATTGTTCTACTACCCTGAGAAAAGAAAACAATATGGTCCAAAGTAGGAAAACTTTAATATGTGGAAAGATAGACCATTCAAACAACCTAAACAGTGGCCTAGTCAAAATCAAAATCATACTGTCAAATAATTAACAACTTTGTGATAATTAATCAGAATTAATAGAAGTAAGCAGTACCTTAACTTCCAAGTAGTGCACAAAAACTATATGCATCAAATCCCTACAATATTAACAAAATCATTCAAACCAAAATCAACAAAGCTTAGAGACCAGAAATTTAAGTATATAATTCCAAATACTTCACAAATCCAAAACAAAAAAGATCTACTATTATTCAAAAACCATGGGACTTTAGACAAATCAGACCCCCAATGAAGTCATAGCCCCAGGAGGCTTCCAAACATCACAGAACTAAGAGTGAACTCAGAGTACAGTAATATTATTAGCAAAAAAAGAATTGTTTATAAATTTTTCTAGCCCTAAAAATGCTAATATATGCAATTTAAATATTGCTGTCTCAACTTTCTTTGTAAGTCAATGTAAGAGAAGATGATGTAACATTCTATGTGACAGAAACTCTAAACAAAATGAATTATAACATATCTGTTACATTGCACAAATTCCCAGATTAACAACCAGTAGAGGCTTCTTAGAAAGCCTAACATTACATGGGCCACAAAGCCCAAGCATGAACAAATTTTTGAACACTGTTAACTGTGATACGACTATATGCCCCCATGGCTGATTGCTGAGATGCATAAAAATACCTTTCAAAGCATTATGGCATTAGCACACAGTTTCCAAACAAATGTAAATGTAATTAACTGGAATAAAGAAATAAAAAATAAAGAAAATATAATACAACTTTAGGGACATGACAACATCCTAGAATGCCTATAATTAACCACAAAACATATATATATATATATATATATATATAAACCCATACTCTTCAAGCATCCAATAGCTGCGCCTCTGAAAGTTTTCATTCTCTTCTCCATGGGCATAGTAGCAGTGCAACATATCAATGCTTCCAACCTAAAATTGCTTTAAAAAAGTTACTCTTAGGCAAAATTTCCAATCCAGGAGTATGATTAACTAAATAAAGACTTCCTGAATGGGTAAAATTACATAACAAGAACAAAAAATCTTCGTCTTCTATGGCTGCATTACTTACCTTCAGCTTCTCATGAGCTTCCTTCACAGTCTTTCCATCTTTTTTCTTCCTCCAATTATGTCCATCCTTCCTAAAGTATCTTAACACCTTTCGATCAAAAAGAAAAAGTGAACCACCTGGCAAGTTTAAATTCATGTCAATCTATTTGGTTGTCTAACCCTAAAATCAACCATAACTTCATCAAATAATCCTTCACAATGATAAAATCCATGTTGCATATTTTGCTTAAAGAATTTTCACTAGCTTTAATGATTGAATAAAACGAGGTTTTTAGGAATATAAAGTATATGAAAGCGAAATATAAAATAAAATAAAATAAGGAAAACCCATAGCTAACAACAGAAAAACATTAATCTACTTCCAAAATGATTATTTCTGCAATGCTTTTATCAAGCACTCGGTAATCATAATATAGTCATGTATCCAACTCTGTGATGTTTTTCAATGTTCATACTTGGAGGTCTGTTTGGAGACTCTGATGCAATATGAAACTTCTGATAATTACGAAGAATTTCACAAATTTCAGCAGGTCGCAACCATCTATGCTGGGCTTCTAATAATATCTGTTCAATATCTGCAAATAAGAAAACAAAATATAATTAACAATATTGGCACAACCAAACATATGAAATAGAGGAATAAAACCATGACTTGCATCATCAAAAGAAAATCAATTCATCAATTTAGATTTCACACTTCACGCATGCCCAAGAGAGGGAGAGGCCTATTTTAGCAAAAAGCTTCATTCATAAAATCTTTAAATAACATTCTTGACCTATATTTCTCTCTCAAAAGTTAAGGTCTGGTAATGAATGAAAAGAATTATCTAACTCAAATCATGCACAAATTCTGCGTAATACAAAAACATAAATCATATTGATAATTTTTGGTTGGAACATTCTCAGTGCCTTAAAGAGAGATAAAACTGCAACTGTCCATAATGCAAAAAGCTTCTGCTCTACATAACATAGACGCAAACTTAATTTTCTGCTTTTTATAGAAGATTATCAAGCATCAACTGAACTGCCATATAAATTACCTGAAATGATCCAGAACCATAGTACATTCTCGTATTCACTTAGCCTAATTGAAAGAGTTGTTTAGTATTATCTCTTCAAAGTCTTTTAATGTTATATAAAGTTATCTTACTTCAAAATCAACTTTATTGCTATGAAGATACTTTCCAGACTTCAATGCGAGCAGGAGAAAGCTAAAAATCATCGTTGATTCTATAATTGGACAATCAAACCCTAATTCCTGGAATTTCCCAGACAAAACTAAGTTCTATAATGCTATCAATTTATCAATTCCTCCCACCCAGCCTCAGTAATTGAATCAAGTTATATCTCTAAACCTAACTCCATTTTCTCAAGAGAAAGCCCCGTCAATTTTCACTAAAAAAACACAATTCTACCACGGATCAATATAAAAATAATAATAATAATAATAACAATAATAGAACTACGCGCAAATTTCAGATTAAAAACGCGTTCAAAGAGTAAGCGAATCAAAACAAAAATATATACATATATATATATCAAATTTTAAAAGTAGGTGAAAAGGACTGATAGAAAAATTGACCTAATCGGGGAGCCAAACTGTAGGAGGCTCGATCCGCCATGAGTAGAACACTGAAAAGATCGATCGATTTGAATTTTTTTTTTTTTGAATTTATTTGTTTGTGTTGAGCTAAGCAAAGGATACACGAAGGCTGAAAGAAGATTTTTCGTATCGTTGACTGTTACACTTTTTTTTTTCTTTTTTATTCTTGAGTCTATTTTCCTTTTTAGTAGTAGTAGTAGTATATTTTTATTTATGGTTGTGCTTGTATGCGGAGCTGAGGAGACTTTTCGAAATCGAAAATGTGCAAACGATTTTTGGGCGTATTTCATATTTTCCTGTGTGAATGTCGAAAGGCCGAGGAAAGTGCAGGAGTCGGCGAATAGTAGCAACTTAATTTTACCAATTGGTGGGCGACATCTGGCGCCACCTTAAACAGCGAGGTCGAAACTTTTACCGTTGGAAAAAATTTTTAAAAAAAATCTAAAATCGATTTCAAATTAAAGTGTTCTAGTTCAAAAATTTTTGTTTAATTTGATTTTGATTTGAATATTTAATATTTTAATTTGATTAAATTAAATTTTAAATTATGAAATAAAAAAAATCAAAATCATATACGACCCAAAATTCAAAAATCACATATGTTATTTACTTTAAAAAAATATATAAATGGCACTCTACAGAGAGAAAATCTGTATCAATGCCGTTTTTAATGAAGGTTTTTATGATTTATTGTTACATGTTACGGGATTGTCCAAAATCACGAGGCGGGACCAGGATCATCTGGAGGAAATAAATGGAATTTGTGCCTTCTTTTAAAGTCGGTTGATAATAAATGTAAACAAAATTTTCTTATTGGTTAATGACACCGAATGGTCTAACAAATAGTTAAAATTCAAATTAAAAATAATAATAATTTGGAAACCATAGGTGTCACTCGTCAATTATTGCTCATGAATAAATTTTTTGGCCAATATTACTAATGAATAATTAAAGAAAACTTTGTGATTTGTGAATATGAAAATTTTGTAAATGTATAAAAAAATTTTGAACTATAATTAAAAAATCATTTAAATTTTTATTTTTATTGTAATCGATCAATTTCTTCAATATTTATTTACATTTAATTAAGTTCTTATTTGGATGAAAATTTTAATGTTGTTAATTTTTTATTAACTAAAATAAAATTTCATATAACATCAATAAAATATATAAAAATTTGTCATATAATATAATTAATATACGTACTAATTAAATAAAATATTTTTTTTTAAATCCCTCTAAAAGTTTAATTGATTATAATTTAGGAATTGATTGATTCAATTTTATCATGTGAATAAATTTCAACTGATTAAGAGTTCAATTGAATCAAAATAAAAAATTAAAAATTTGATTAATCGCAATAAAATGTCAATAATTTAAATGATTATTGAATTTTTGTTTGTACTTTTTTTTTATCCCTTTTATCTTTTTTTTTTTAACATTAATCTTAACAAATGTCTCTATAGCTAGAAGTGTTCCTAAACATATTTCTAGACCGAAATTGTAAGAATTCCTAAAGAATAAATAAAATATTTTAATATTAAACATGGAACTTAATTTAAATGTTTTATTCACTTCTTATAAAAAGTGAATTTTAGTAATATTAGAGTTCAATTTTTAATATTGGATTTTAGTAATATTGGAATTCGATTCTTAATACTTATAATTTTTTTTTCTAAATCTCTCCTATATCTTGATCTCTTTTGTATAAAAATAATATTCAATAAAAATAATTTGTATTTGTATTTGTAATATGACCATTGAAAATGATTTATCCAAATACAAAGAAAAGACAATTAATTTTTTTAGATTTAGTATTTGTATTTTAAATTTTTAGTTAATTTTGAATACAAATATACTATATTTTTTGTTTGAGTTTGGATAACCTTAAATCCATCTTCGAAATGTAAGTGGAAGTATATTTTTTAATGAAATTACAAGTATAAAAAAAATTATAATCATAATCAAGTATTATATTCATATATAATGTATTATTAAATAATCAATCCAATAAACTAAAACATAATTAAACAATCAAATTCACACGTTGTAAAACTTAAACTCTGGGACTTCAAGCTTTAAGACCTCTTTCTTACTACTAAGTCAAGATTTCATTGACAGCATTTTATTTTTGATATACGCTGTCTAAATGTTGACCCACTGATAAATGATAAGTACAATAGAAAGAACTAATATTCAATACACTATAAGTATAAATTTTTAATTTCACAAGCAAAATTAAAAATTAATATATGACTTATTTTTTAATTAATTTTTTAAAATGTATCATAAAAAATATGTACCATTATACTAACTCTGCTTATAAATTTTAAAATTTTCACTAATAGTGCTAAAATAATTTTTCATAATAAGAATATCATTTTTTTTTCCTAAATTCTTATCATTTGTTTTACAAGCTTGCGCGGTAGAACTTGGATTACACTTATAGAAGATTGTACTCGTTAATAAACTAATACTATTATTTTAGTCATCTCTTCCCATGTTAAGCTAATCATGAATTTGAAATTACTTTTTTTAACAATGAATTTGTGATTACTAGAAAATCATGTACTTATGTAATTTTATAGCATGAACATTATTTTATCCAACCAATTGCAATTGATACTAATAACATAACAATATAACATTATGACTTTAGTCAATATATATATATATATATATTATGACATTGTATCAAAATTTATGTTAATTATAGACATAGCATCTATATATATATGTTTCTTTATTAAAAAAAAAAAAGGTTCAATTATTTATTCTCTTAATTTTTTTAAAAGATTATCTTTTTTAGAATAAATAAATTTGCATCAATATCAACATCAATTGAAAATTTATTTATTTATTGTTTTTTTAATGCAATTTTATTTAAATTTGTCTGTTGGTTGTCAAAATTTTGTATATTTTATTTCTTTTACAATGAAGTTATCACAAATTAGATTTAAAACAGAAAATAGTGAAAAAAAAAAAAAAAAGCTTTAAATCAAAAGAAATCTAAGTCAATAAATGTTGAAATGATTTTAATAACTAGTGTTTATTTTTTTAAATACTAACTAGTGCTTTTAGATTAGTTAATATACTATTTATAATAATATCTTCGTATTACATGCAATAGTTGATAGTAAATGTGATACTTACAATGCATAGGATAAAGATACTTTTTAATATAAAAAGATTCAAGTTATGAATGATAGAATAACTAAGGTTAATGTTATGAAGGAATGATAGAATGATTGTCTTTCTGCGGCTTCCAACCTAATTATTCATCTATCCCATCCGGGATTCCCTTGGTTGGTATATCGTATAGAAGAGAGGCTTTCCTCTTAGCAATTAGGAGTGATCCTTACCTCGAACTATAAATTGAATAAATTTCATAATAGAAGAAAAGGGCAGTGGAGGCACCCATTGATTTTGCACCTTCATACATCTCAAGTTGAGAATTCTCGTAATGATCAGTGAAAAGAAATACAAATTCTAACCTATTAACAATAGCATTAAGTTAAAAGGTTCTTAAATTATATTAAATACTTAATACGATACATGAATTTAAAAAATTTGTAATGTAATATTTAAATTATAAATCTATTAATTAATATGATATTTATTTTTAATTTTATTAATTTCAAATGATGATTCATAATAGACAAATAATCTTATAAATACTATATTAATTAACAGATTTATAATTCATATATCATATTAAATATTTTTAAAACTTAAATACTATATTAAATATATTACTATAATTTAATGATTATTACATTAATCAAATATAAAAATTCAAAGAATCCCATAAACAAATGCTGCAATTGTACTCGCACCATGAGTCAACTCTTTTTTTTTTATACTTTTTATCATTTTTCCATTATTTAAAACTTTCAAAAATACATTTTTAAGATTTTATTTTTTAGTGTGGACTTATTTATATCAAAATTTTCATTTTCTTTCTTTTCATTTTTATCTTTTTAAAATTTTTATCTTTTTTAGATATTTAATAAATAATTTTTAAATTTTTTTGTGTGAGACTCACTTGACATTAAAGGTATATTACACTTCAAATCAATTTTTTTCACCTTTTTCTTTTTTTTTTCCTTTTTGCTTTTTTTCTCTTTTTATATATTTAATAAATATTTTAAAATTTTTAAAATTTTTTGAATATGGGATCCATTTAATATTATTATTTAAAATATATTAGTTGTTTTTTTAATTTAATAACAGTTAAAGAAAAATATATTAGCAGAGGTGATTATGTCAAATATGGATTTGATTTTTTTTTCGATTGTTTTAGTTCTTTTTAGATTTATTAAATACATTATATAAAATTTTCAAAAATAGCTTAGTTTGTCGTGCGGCAACTAAAAATTCTTTTTTTTTTTTGCTTTTCATTTTCTTTCCTTTTTAAGTTTTTTTCCTTTCCTTTATTTAATTATAAATTTTTTTTTAAAAAAAAAAAGACAAATGATTGTATATAGGTGGCACCCTATTTCATTTTTTTACTTACACTTTTTTTTGTGTTTTTTATTTTTTAATTATATAGTTTTTGCACTAAAGGAAACTAGTAAATAAATTTTTGAAGAAAATATTAATGAAGGTATGTATGATAAAACAACTTATATCCAATGGGTTTTAAGCTTTGTTTGTTTCACAAAAATTAACTTTAAAAAAATGTTTTATGAAAATTGTTTACATTTTCTGAAAAAGTAGAGATTTTTTATTATTTAGATGAGTTAATGAAAAATATTTTTATTATTTGGTTATTTTTAAAAAATATGTTCATTTTTTTAGATAATATTAATGTAACTATTAAAATGTTAAAAATTATTTATTATTAAAGTATATTAAATTATTTATTATTAAATTATTAATATTTAAGAATAATTATATTTTAATAATAATATTGAATATTAAAATATTATATTAATATAAAAAATTCTTAAAATAAAACTATTTATTATTCTTTATATTAATATTTTAAAATATCTAAAATAGTATTACTATTCTTAAAATATTATTTTTATTAATATGAAAATAATAATATTTATTATTAAAATATTTTTACTATTAAAATATTTATATTTTATATTAAAACTATCTATTATTAAATCATAACAAAAATCCCTTTTATTTATTTTTATTATTAAACTAGTAATATTAATACCTTAATAAATAAAAATTTTAAAATTTAAAATTTAGACTAAAAATAATAAGAAATTATTAAAAATATTCATATTAAGAAAATAATATTATTATATTATTTA